GCCGCCCCCCCCCCCTTCTAGAAGAATGTCAGCCTTCAGCCAGTAATCTGCATGTCATTTTCCTGTAGCTGCCACCCCATTGGAAATCAATGCCCTTTGCCTTAAATAATGCATTTGACATACAACCTGGCAATAATACAGACCGATCTAATGGGAGAGTGTATCCATTAGCCTTTTAGATAGACCAATTTCCTTCAAAACGAGTAGCTTGCAGTAAGGTTGTTCACACAGCTTATTTTAAGGCCTAAATCAGCCCAAATCCAGGTGCTCAAGGCCTAAAAACCTGAGATCTGTGCACAAAAAATTGTTCAGGAGTTGTTGACACTTTCATAATTGATTGCGTTCTGCAAGCTGTTTCTATACATGTGCACCTGTTAAAGTCACAAAACAGGGTGGTGTTGCATGGTGGCCATCGTATTAGGAGGTGTGCAGCAGCAGGGATTTGGGTTCTCTGTGTTTATATTGGGCTTTCAGAGGGCTCCCGTGGGCTGGCACACAAGAGCGTGGATGTTCTGAAATTCTGACACCAGCAGCAGGAGGAGCTGAGGCAGGCAGACAATGCAATTAATCATAGTAGATAGCAGAAGGTACTAGGCTTCCTACACCCCCTAGTGGACGGCTATGGAATGGTCAAGGTACTTGGCACAGTAAGCTTGTGCAAAAAGTGGGTATTTCTTTTTTTAAAGCAACTTATACCACCACCACCACCACCACTACTAATAAATAATTGTCCACCCTAAGGTCTCAAGCAGCTTACAGCATTAAAACATAATATTAAAAACAATTTAAAACAACCGAGATAGCCAGAGTGTGAGCTGTATCATTACATAGCCAGGCTAAGCATCATTTCTGTTCAGAAACGTAAAACAGCACCATATGGAATATTGCAATGCTTTAATATGCTCTAGAATCATTACCTGGTGGGCTACTACGATGAGACACAGCCTGTTAATTATGCCAAAACAACAAAACAAAACCCCAGAATGTATAATTATGTCTTCAGCAAAAGACTTACCTTTTTTTGGTATGAGTTGCAAATGATGTTTTTTTTTTGTTTAGTCATTTAGTCGTGTCCAACTCTTCATGACCCCATGGACCAGAGCATGCCAGGCACTCCTGTCTTCCACTGCCTCCCACAGTTTGGTCAGAATCATGTTTGCAGCTTCGAGAACACTGTCCAACCATCTCGTCCTCTGTTGTCCCCTTCTCCTTGTGCCCTCAATCTTTCCCAACATCAGGGTCTTTTCCAGGGAGTCTTCTCTTCTCATGAGGTGGCCAAAGTACTGGAGCCTCAGCTTCAGGATCTGTCCTTGCAGGATCTGTCCTTGCAGCACTCAGGGCTGACTTCCTTCAGAATGGATAGGTTTGATCTTCTTGCATTCCATGGGACTCTCAAGAGTCTCCTCCAGCACCATAATTCAAAAGCATCAATTCTTTGGAGATTAGCCTTCTTTATGGTCCAGCTCTCACTTCCATACATCACTGATACTGAATATTAAAACAGTTTTCTTTCACATTGCCATCATTCCTGTCTCAGGCACACGGTCCAGAATCTGTTCCTCTGTTCTCTGACTACATTAATTTTTCTCCCATTTCTTTTCAATTTTTTCATGAGTTAGTTCTTCAATAATTTCTGCCAATACATTTTATGTTTCTTCCACCTAACAAAGTTTACACCCTACTGAAATTAAATTGAAAGTTAGATTTTCACTGAAGAAGAAAAGGCAAGATACGGAGTAAATTTGAGGATCGATTCCTTAGAGATACTATATACAATTCTCTGTCTCAGGCAAAAAAGGACAGAAGTGCTCTGAAACTTGCAGTTTGTCTGGCAGGAGGGGAAATTGTTTCTTTGCTTGCTAGTTTTGGAAAAGTCCTTATGAATAGATGCCATCCAGGACAGAGAGCATGACTAAGCAGCCAGAGAAAGGGAGCAAATATTAATTATGCTGAACTACAGCCAGTAATGGTCCCTACTGATGAAATGCTGCATTTTTATGACCTGGTATAATTTGCAGCATGAAGCTACCCAGAGTCAGACTTTGGAGAAGAAGTCATTAGCCTTTCAGAAGCTGCAAGAGTGACAACATGTGAGCAATGCATGTCTTAGCCTTCAGATGACAATATACCCAGTCGTCTCTTGCTCTTTCTGGGGTCACTCCATGTTGCTAATGTAGGCTTCCTCAACCTCGGCCCTCCAGATGTTTTTGGCTTACAACTCCCATGATCCCTAGCTAGCAGGACCAGTGGTCAGGGTTGGTGGGAATGGTAGTCTCAAAACATCTGGAGGGCTGAGGTTGAGGACGCCTGTGCTAATAGCACTGGGTCATGCTTGCATTTCATTCTGCAACACAAAATATGATGGTTCAACGTTAAATCCTTCACCAAAGTCAGAGACTATGGCATCCTAATTTTGCTAGGATTAGAATCAGGGTAGCGCAAACCAGTCCTTTGGATAAATTGTATTCACCAGCCAATTCTAAAATGCTCTTCCTTGCCACTACTTGTGGAACGCTATAATTGGATTGATTATAGGCTGCCTTTTTTCTGTGAAATGGGCCAGACTTTTGGGATATCGGAGCAGAAAAGATCCAGACAGAGCATTACAGAATGTTACATTCCAGCTTTGCATTCTAGGAATTCTACAGGACCCCAAAGAACAAAAGTATATTGGATAGAATGTTACAGTTCTAGCTATAGAGCTGCCATAATTTGCTATCAGGGGTGGGGTGGGGGTGTCAGGATAGAGAGAGAGGAGACTTCCATCCACCCTGCAGGTCCCCAGGAACCATTTATATGGCCATGGATTCAAGAGCCGACCAATGGCTCTAACTGGAGCAGCATCCTTCAAACTGGGAATTCCCTAGGTTCATACATCAGTGGACCATGGGGGATTCTAGCTCCCCACCTTGAAGGTTGAAGTCAATCTTCTCCATTTGCAGGGACTGTCCTGTTTGTGCAGAAATGCATCCCATTCATATAATCATATCTTGCTTCTAACTTAAGGGTTTAGGATCAGGAGATGGAAGTGGAAATCAAATGTTACAGATGCACAGCAGATTCCACCCCTTCTGTTTGCATACAACTGGGTGAGTGGGAGGCAGTATAAGAAGAAAAGGTACCAAAGGTACCAAACTCTTATGGGGGGTGTCTGTGGATCTTTCCATAATATGGGCCCTGCACTGCAGGGGGATTAATGGAAAGCTAGTACAAGTACCAGGTATATGGCTGGAGGATTAAGTTACATTTAAAAAGGCACCTAAAAATTCAAGAGTGGTGTGCCTTAATTGTCTATTCACCAGACAATGTAGGCCCTGGAAATGGTCCTTAATGTCTTCCCTATACCATATTATATTGAGACATGCAGTGTATTTAAAGTCTTAAAAGAAGACCCCCCTCCCCCACTCAGAAAAGCTCCACACCCTTCTCCCATAACAAATAAGAAAACCTTTACTTGGTGGTTTTTAATGAAAATGCCATTTTGTTGTTCTAATGGCCAACAGCTGGGGAAATGAATGCTTTTCTCCTTCATCATCTAAAAACTTATTTGGAAGAGTATTGGTTTGTGGCTCTACTGGGTAACTTTGCTGATGATCTGATTTTAAAAGTCATTTAATTTCTTCTAAGACCACAGTGGTTACCATAGAAATACATTTGCTGCAAAACAAGGAATAATTAGTATACATTTGTTTCTTCATATCCCTTAATTTCTTCCATTCAGGGTCTTAAGCATATAATTAAAGGGATTATTTGGCTTTTTGATCCCCCCCCAATTCGTTTAAAGACCATACTCTTGTGTCGGCAGCGCCTAAGTCACACTGAGTAATCAGTCCAATCTGTTTGTCTACATGGATAAAAACGTCATGTTTTCCGCTGAAAACTCAGAAATGTAAGTAGCAATGAATTTTAGGATTTTTGTTTGTGTGTAAACAAGTAAAGCAACTGATTTACACAGGTAATGCTATAACCCAATGTTGTTAGAGAAGGTACTCCTAAAGAACGCTTTATGAGTGCGAAGCTCTCCTGTATATGCAGCTTTCTCTATTTGTGGAATGGCTGCTTCAAAGGCAGGCGAGGTCATTGGCAGCAAGAAACTGAAGCATGGAACAGCATACATGGGAGGAGGTGGAGAGGATGTGAGGGACAATTGGATCAGCCCCAAGGTGTATTTGCCAATCAGGTGTGTGTGGAAAACATTTCTCACTGGATCTCTCAGCAGAGACAGAAAGAACATATGGTGAAAATGGACCATCGCGTTTTAGTTGACTCAACATGTTCTGTCATGGCGAAGTCTATTTAAACAACCCAACTTTGCAGATAGAAAATGAAGGCTGCAATCCTCTGTGTGCTTGCCCAGAGTAAGGCCCATTGAACTTAGAGGAACTTAAACATGCATTGGATTGCATCATGCATCCATCCTACACCCAGAACCTATTATTTGCACATTTTTTCCCTAATTTATTTCAGTTGCAAAATATTTTTGTTTTCTTGGTGTGTTTATCCAACAGGGAATTTAGTGGTGGGAGAAAATGAATGAATGCGGCAATATAGCAGAAGGAGGGGTGAAAACAGCGTAGAAGGATTACAAATAGGCAGATGGAGGTAAGTCATGTTCCAGCTGAACTTGCTCCAGCTGACCTGTTTAGGAGCTTTTTGAAGATGTTAGTGGGATATTTTTAAGCATTTATTTAATAGTAGAGAAGATTTGATTTAATACTTGTATTCCTCATTTCGAACAACAAATGTTGAGCACAAAGCAACTCACAGTAACATTAAGAAAGCAACACACAATGCAAACACTATATTATCAAACACTGTGGCATATTAATAAAGCAAACAGCAGCTACAAATTCACCAAAACAATGAATACAATTCAATAAAGTCATTATAATTCAAAATATGAAAATGAAAGATTGACAAAAAATTGGGAAGGGGAAAGAGAAAGAAAACATGTGAAGTGTTTCAGATAGGCCAGGCCTTCCCAAGAAAAGCTGCCATGGACCTTTGAAAGCTCATTGGGTACAGCATGAGACTCTAAATCTCAGAGTTGTGGATTCGAGCCCCATGTTGGGCAAAAGATTCCTGCATTGCAGGGGGTTGGACTAAATGACCCTCATCGTCACTTAGAATTCTATTTTTCTTTTTCACATCAATATCCCTTATTTATTTCCTAGGGAAACAAGAATGGAGTCATGCAGAGAAAGAGAAAGAGAAAGAGAGAAAGAGAGAAGGAGAGAAGGAGCAGAAACAGCTACTATGTCCAGGGCTTAAGTAGACCAGGGTTTATTTAGTGCTTAATGTTATTATTTGTATTGCACCTTTCTCCCATTCTGGAAAGTCATCTGCAAGTGGTTTTTAGGCACTGACCAAACCAAAACCTGCTTAGCTTCAGCAAGATGGTGGAACTGCAAAAACAGAATCTGATGTCAGTACCAGGATTTAGGACATAGAGTAAGATTAAAGACAGCCTTTTGAGTTAGGTGTCTTTGCCTCCCCACTAAGAAACTCACAAAGGCATGCTCGCTTGTTGACAGAAGCTTCAAGAGATGCGTTTACCAACATGAGACTGTTCGCTGACAATACATCACAGATAGAACTTTCGCGCCACATGAAACACAAAGGTGCATTTCATACATTCATCAACCCCATGTGATGGTGGTACAGGTGCATATGCCTCTCCACACACCTGAGTAAATGTATTGATGGCATTTGGGGCATACGTGTTCATACATAGTTGTGTGGCAAGACCCTCAAGCTGATCCCCATTAGGGTAAATAAATTCACACAGACACGGGCGAATGTGTTGATGGGATTTGGGGCATACATGTGCATACAGACATAGTTCTCACATCATTCATGGCTTCATGTGCACAGGGTATGGGTATACAGTCCTACTCTTCCCTCATACATACTTGAACCATAGTTGGACAAGGGTGTGAACCAGCCCCTACTGATTTTCTCAAGACCACCTATCAAATTCATTGTTGGGATAGGAACCTCGAACATCAGCTCCAGAGTTCTGTTGCCTCCTGGAAATACACAGATTCTCTTTGCTGCTGCCACACACATCTAAATATATTTGTAAAGAAAAATGGTATATTGTACATGTTTATTTTTGTGACTGTCAGTCCTGTATAGGATGTGTATTTAGGGTATCTTATGTGAAGTTTTTGCCTAGAGGTTCCGTTCTGTGATGGGCTAGCAGCCTTGCTGAGGTATATATTTAGGAGGCTTTATATAGCACACTACTTATGCTAATGCACAGAAGATAAAACGACTTGTAAACCACTAAGTACAAGCAATAAAAGACAGTGACCACTGAGCATTTCATTGCTGAAAATAGATGAGCATAGTGTTGCATTTCAAATGTTTTGCAGACTGAATATAACTACAGATGCTAACAGATGCTTTAAATATATAAAGGAAACTGACAGATAATTATTTAAGATATGACTTTTGAGGAAAAAGTGTTCCCACTGGATTTATTAACTGCAGCTTACAAAATCCAATTGCACCATATATTTTCCAGGCATTTATTATTATTATTATTATTATTATTATTATTATTATTATTTTATACCTTTTCACATGACATGGGGATTAGTTTAAATTCTAAACTATGGGGTTACTCACACATTGCACTGAAAACAGATATAAGCTATCTCCACACATGTACAAGTGTTTGTTTGTGAAAGAATGCACATTTGTTTATTTGTACAGCTCAAGTGTTGTGTACACATACTGAATACCATTGAATATTTCATTTGCATTACTGTATGAGTATACGGCTCAAATATTTGTGTACTCTAATACACAAATTGTATAATCTTTGAAAGTAATGTGCGAACATCCCTTAGGAAAGCAAAGGTCAAAGTACATCAAAATGATTCCTAAGATTGGAACTCATTTGACACATACAACTTGCTACTACTATAGGCATGGCAGTGGCAACAGGACAGGAAATAAAGTTCCTCCCAGGCACACAGCAGAAAACATTTGGCACTTTTCAGACAGAGTGCAGAGAGCATATCAAACCAAACATACATAGGCACTATGCAGCATCAAACACATGTTGGACAGATAGAAACAAACATTCTAGATAAAGCGCAGTCATGAGGGAAAACCACAAGTGTACACATAGCATGGGCAAGCATATTACGTACAGCACAGCAGAACACATAGAACAGATGCACACACTATCAGCACAAACAGTTGCATATACGACCACACCAATATCAGAACATTAGATAAAGAACAGGATGCTGTGCCTTTCCCACACAAGCGTTCAGTCCTGTGACTTGACTGGCAGGGCACATGCCTTGCAGCACGGGCACAGTGCATTTCGTTTACGTCTTGGTGATTTCATTCTAACCTACTGATCTGGGAGTAGGTGGCAAGGCTTCCAGCCTTATCACTTGTGTTTAAAAAAAGTAATTGCTGCCTGTTCATGACATTTGCAAGGCTACTCCTCCCCCTAATCTGAGTGACACATCTAATATAAGTCCTCTTCACACAGTCGGTGCATGCTTTGACTGAATTCACGGAGGGGCGCTCCTGACCTTCTCCACATGTCCAGTGGAAGATACACATAGGCTCTTACATATGATTGGGAATGCTGGTCACCCGGGGCTCCTCATACAGCTGAAATGCATGTAGAATCCCTTCCACACCTTCTAGTGAAGATACAGAGGTGTGATTCTGCTCACCCTTCCATGCATTCAATCGATACACGTAAGGAGTGCATGAACTTGTCTCCATCACTTTGTTTAGAGCTTTCCCACCACTCACACTTCAGCTTCCAACCAATGGCAAGAAATAACGATTACAGATACACATGGTTATGATCATTTTTATTCAGCTGAATTGCTAAATGTGAATGTCAACCACTTGTCTGTCCAGTTGCGTTACAGTTATGACCTGTTTGACTCATCTGTTTCCCATTGTGGCCAACAGTTGGCCAGCCCTTCTGTATGTATTTTCTCAGATGCTGTGCAGATGCAATTGTGTTAGTATGAGTGCAAGAAAGATAGATTTCATCCACCTTTTCGGGTGCAATTGCTTAGCAGGCATCACTGTAAGGTACAGTACACATCCCTGAGTGTTCGTGAATTAACAGAATCCTTGATATTCAACAACAGGTCTTTGTTTTTTTAAAAAAACCAAAACCAATGACTGAGATAAAAAGGCTGAATCTGAGCATTGTGTTCCATTCATAGTTAATTATTATATGCTTCAAGAAGCACATTCACTATTGCGTGAATGAGCAAGTTAGTCAATGGAATTCTGCTCTGCGATACCAAGAGTGTAGCTTCATGCCAAGACTTTTTATCCATTCATTATTTCTGATAGTTATCATCTGCAAAATTATTTTCCTGCTAAATCTGAGCCAGATAGAAGGAAACTTCAGCTACATGCTCATTTCTGTGAAGTAACTGAACAAATAAATTAAAGCAGACAAACAGAGTTCACTTTTAACATTTAACCCCACATGCTGGTTTGAATGTAAACAACTAAAGAGTGGAGACATATAAGACTGTGCACAAAATCTTTTCAGAAAGCGTCAAGTGAGTAATTGCTTGGCTGAAAGTAAGGAGCAATTTAGCTTTTCTGGACTTCAGCTAGAAGAGATTTAGTGTTGGAAAGCGGATGTAAAATTCCATGGTGATTTGACACAGAACTGTGATTTCATGAAGCACTTTAAAGTTTACCAGCCATATAATAGGCTGCTAGGATAAGGTCAATGTTAAAATTACTAAGAAATGCAATGCCATCGAGAGCATTGGGGACAGGCACCACTGGGAGTGCTGTGTGCGCATCAAGTTCCATGAATGGCCTTGAGAACAAACTTGAACAAAGTGCTTGTCCGATATGGACTTTTAAAAGAGAGGAATTAACCAGATCCCCCCCCCCCACGATGATAATAAATTCATTATTGAAATGGAGAAGGACATTGCAAGCCCCTGCCTATCAAAGGAGAGGCTGCTAATTAATTCAATTCTGTAACACAGATTTCCGTTGAGCAATCAAGAGGAGTGTCCTTTCACACATTTAGCTCTTAAGGCTCAAGCTATGCATGGCTTTGATCATGTATCATGTGCCAGAACTGTTCCAAAACATTAATGAATGTCTGCCTCACAGATGTGCAGCTCAAAACTGTGTGCATGTTTACTCAAAATTAAGAGCGTAGAATCATAGAAGGGATCCCAAGGGTCATCTAATCCAACCCCCTACAACTGTGATCATTGGAACTTACTGGTGTTCTAGGTAACAAGGCAAGGATTGCAGCTTTAATTTATGTGGATCACTTAAATTCACAACAGAGTTTGCCTCAGGCCCATCTTACCCATAGAGGCTAGTGGTGCAGGGCACCATGGCACCAAGTTCTGGAGGGCGCCAGGCGAGAGTCCGGGGAACACCGAACGAGCGCGCTGAGTGAGCGAGGGCGCGTGCGCCGCTCCTGCTGAGCGTCGGCTTGGTTTTTTCCCTTTTAGCCTGCAGGCGCTGAATTCTGCGGGGCGCCAGAAGGCTAAAAGGGAAAAAACCGAGCCGGCGCTCGTTGGGAGCAGCACACACGCCCTTGCTCACTCAGCACAGGCCCACTCGCTCAGTGTGCTGCCTGCCATGGCCACCATGGCACGATGCGACCAGCTGAGCCGGCAGGCACCTCGTCCAGCCTCCGCCTCTTCCCCGCCGGAGGAGCTGCCCTCCAGCCACTGCCCACTTCCTCCAGCCCTAAAAAAAGGTTGAAAACTCTGGGAAGCTGGAGGAATCTTTGCAACAAGGTGCCTGATATGCTTAAGATGGCCCTGGTTTGCCTTGTGGGTTCTGGATGATTGTGCATCTTCACATTTCACTGTTTTTGTAGTGTGTCAAGTGTTGATCTTGAACTGAGGAGATTTGGCTTCAAATCTCCAGGCAGACATGTAGCTCACAGGGTGACATTAGCTCAGTCAGTACATTCCAGTCTGACCTACCTCACAGGCATTGTGGGATGATAAAACGGAGCAGCGTTGTGTATGCCGCCCTAAACTACTTGGAAGAATGGAGCAATAGAGATCTATAATAAACAAGCAG